ATGAAGCTTCATTGCAATGGAAAAGATTTCATCATCCCAGTTACTATGCATAGAGTTGAAAATGAGCTTGAGGTACATCATGTTAGTGCAATTCCTTCTATTTCCGAAGAGACAGATACAGAACTAAAAAAAAACACGTGATTAATCCTAATCTCATTCCAGATACTAAAATATTAGAGTTCCATTCCAAGGTTTGGGACACACGGCAAAACCTCAAAGATGAATTTCTTAAAGTTTTAGATTATGCTGAATATCTTGAAAAGGAATTGATTCGAATTCAGGATTCAGCTTGAAGCTCTTTAGCATATTTTCGCAAATGTGACATTCTGGCTTGCACTTCATTTTCTGGCACTGACGAAGTAGACTGATTATTTAAAATAGAATGATGTATGGTTTTCGATTCCGATAGATCTCCACCTTTAGATAATTCCGCACTAGAATTGTCCTTTTTTTTTCTGCCAGTCTTTTTTGTCTGCTTATCTGAGGTAACAATAGAGTTTACTTGCATAACGTTTTCATCCATGCCAATGTTTAGTAAATGAGGTGAATCAGGAAACCGATCTACTGTATTTGATAAGCTGTGGTCCCCATTCTGTTGAGAACGCTCGCTATTTTTCCATATATCCTCAACACGATTTTCATTAATATGGAAATTCCTTACTAGCACATATTTAGGAACCTTATTTTTGGATTTCCTAATCTCTTCGATTTGCTCAGGTGTTAAAATAGTAGCACCTCGGCGATAATAAGTTTTTAGATGTGGAATGGACATTGTTCAAAGATGTTTTTTTTTTGAATTGGGTCGAAGATTATTACTTTACTTAATAAAAAATAATAAATATCGAAATTAACGTTAAAAATCAAAGTTTACCATCTACTACTGTTAAATAACGTTAAAAATCAAAGGTTACCATTTGCTATCGTTAAATAACGTTAAAAATCAAAATTAATTCAATTTTTTGTTAAACATATTCTCTTTAATTATATGGCACCAATACATACCTTAAATAGTGGATCTACTGTTGCCGAAAATTTTCAAGGGCGTGGATATAAATTAGATAGCACTAGAGAACGTGAGCTTGAATCTGAACGTAATGAGTTACTCATTAAAACCGAATTTTTTGCTAATAAATGTTCTGATTTTAGAAATGCCAAAGTGCTTGCAGAAACACGATCAGATGAACTTGCAAAAGAGTTGAAATCAAAAAATGAAAAAATTTTACGTCTCCGGAAAAAATTAAATCGAATCACCGATGCCAAAACACGAAATGACTCAAATATGAAACAACTCAAAGAAGAAATCAAACAGTTACAGAGCGAAAATACTAATCTTGTATCCCAGGGTGCTCTTAAAGAACTTTCTCTTACTGGCTATCAAACCAAGTATTACAAAAAAATGGAAGAGGCGAATTCTTTCCAATCTAGAATAAAGTCATTGGAAGAGAAATTATTTTCAGCTCAGAAGGACTCATCTCTGAAAGCTTCCGGGATCGATTCTCTCAAGTCCAAAATAACTGAATTGGAGCGCATGAAAGATGAATTATCCTTAAAAGTCAGTGAACTTAACTGTCTGAAATCGGAGACTATATCAAAATCTATAATTGGTGGAGATGTCGAGGGGCAGAGCCTCATTGTTCCCACAATAAAAAATACGCAGAGCGAGGAACAAAGTTCCATAACCAAGTTTGATGATATATCTGCAGTTATTGAACCTAGCAAAAATCTAAGTAAGTATTTTGTACGCGGAAAAAGTATGAATCAAGCTGAAAAAAATGATACAGAGATTAACCCCAAGATAAGTGACTCATGAAGTGAGAATGCTAGCGCATCTGAAACTAGCATTAGCGAAATTAACAAAGATAATATGCTAGTTTCATCGATAAACCCGGATATACCCCCAATTATATCTGAAAATATGACTCCGCACCTTGCTCAACGGGAAAATAATATGTCCTCATTAATTGAATCGAATTCTCAGATTCCGATAGGAGGAATAGAAGCAATCCCTGCTGTGGCATATATTTTTCTTACTCTATTAATTATTGCGGTTATGTGGTTTGTAAGACGCACATGGGGATTTGATAGGAAAAGTGATCGGTTACAGGGTGTGTGGATTGGACATTAGAAGTCATCTATTTAAACTTTGATATTATTTATGTACGAAAAAAAATATTATTAATAATGTATAAACGATGGTGATATAAAGATATATTTATAGTGAGCTGACCGCCTTGTTCCATGTATTTAGAAAACTCTCAAGTACTAGTTGATCCGTTCTCGATATATGAGATAAGGTAGGTTGTTCAGTAATCATCTCATTTTTTCTCATAGTCCCGGGTTGACCAATTTTATCTGGGATTGTTATATGGGGGCTGTTCTAGGAAAAAGTGGGTTTCGACCCTCAGATTCAAAAATGAGATATTTATACCAAATTAAT